AATTATTACTATTAATCTGAAAAGGAACTAATATGCAGAATACAAAAGGAACTCAAATAACTCAATAGTAAACAGGAATTCCATTAAAAAGTGGACAAAGAAGGGCAGTACCTGTGGCTCAGAGGAGTAGGGCGCCAGCCCCACATACTGGAGGTGGCAGGTTCAAACCCAGCCCAGGCCAAAAACTGCAAAAAAAAAAATAGACAAAGAGTAGGAATAGACTTTTCTGAGGAGGCATATAAATGGACAAGGCAAGAAAAAGTGCTTAGCCTCACTTAATCCTAGGGAAATGCAAGTCAAAATCATAACAAGATATTATTTTACCCCAGTTAGAACAGCTATTATTAAAAAAAAAAATGCTGGTAAGGATACGGAAAAAAGGGAGCTCTTACACACTGTTGGTGGGAATGTAAGTTCACAGAGACTCTATGAAAAACAGTTTATTAAAAAACTAAAAAGTGAGATTATTGTGCAGTCCAGCAATCCCATACTTGGTAATTTATCCAAAAGAAAACTAATCAGTATTTCAGATGGATACCTGCACTTCCATGTTTATTGCAAGGGTTGTATTTATTGTTTGTGAATTTCCCCATAGAATGTTATTTCCAAAAAAGTATATTCGAAATGCTTTGGAAACCAAATAAAACCATAAAAATAAGATAAAATGCCTAAGAAGAGTGCAAAAGAAGCAAATGTATCCAAATTTTGTTTGTACATAGAGTCAAGAATTCTGAAATAATAGGAAAGCCATTTCAGCAATTAGTGGAAACAAAGATGGCTTGATTAAATAGAGACTTTGCCAGGTATGCAAAGAGTTTAATGATCAGAAAACAGGAATGAAAGTGAGTTTGGGGAAGTTTGTGGAGACACATCGGGTGAGTCTATAACTTTAAAACTTTAATTGAAAGCCACTTGGCTGAGCATGGTGGCTCATGCTTATAATCCTAGCACTTTGGAAGGAAGGAGTAGGGTTAGAGGGTCATTTAGACCAGGAGTTAGAGACCAGCCTGGGCAACATAGTAAGACCCCATCTCTTAAAAATAAATTGAAACAATCCATTGTCTTGCGAAATAGGGTGTGCCAAGAAAGGTGGCTGTCCCCTGGCCTGTCATGTGATGCCTGTTCATGGGGAACCTAGTGACAAATCATTGTAGACGACCTGCTTCCAGGTCAAGGTTTTGTAGGAATTAGCTCCCTCTCTGCAATCTAATGAAAAAACATTTTTTTTCATTTTTTTGAGAGATTTGAGAAAACATTCTTAGTAAAAAAAAAAGAAAAAAAGTATTTTTCTGTGTTCGACTTTATCCTGAAGATCTGAGTCAATGAATAAGACAACACAATGAAAAAGAAACAGATGGGGCGGCACCTCTGGCTCAGCAGGTAGGGCCCCCGCCCCATATACCAAGGGTGGCAGGTTCAAACCCAGCCCTGGCCAAACTGCAATAAAAAAATAGCTGGGTGTTGTGGCGGGTGACTGTTGTCCCAACTACTTGGGAGGCTGAAGCAAGAGAATCACTTAAGCCCAAGAGTTGGAGCTGCTGTGATGCCATGGCATTCTACTGAGGGCAACAAAATGAGACTATGTCTCAAAAGAAAGAAAGAAAAAGAAAAAGAAACAAATGATAGGAGAATTGGGAGGAAATGCACCTTTTTTTGCAGATAACCTGTTTTCCTCCCAGGATAATCTAAGAAAACCTACAGATAAATTATTAAAACTAAGATAGGGTTTCGTAAAATTCCTAGATATATAAATCAGCAAGTTTACACCAGACATAAGCAATCAGAAAATATTATGAAATATTTTAATTCACAAAAGTACAAAACCACCGGTCACATATGAATCAATCTAGGAAAAATTTCTCTGGGGGAAAAAAAATTATAAGATGTTATTGAGAGATAAAAGAAGATCTGAGTAGATGTTGTTATATTTATGTGTGGAATAAATATTAAAGTTATTATCAAGGATCTCCAAATCAGTTAATAAATCAAATCAATTCTAAATGAAATAATAACTGGGAATCATAAAAGCTGATCCTGCTATTTATATGGAGATCAAAAGGCTCAGAACAATCAAGATAATTTTTTTTTTAAATCAAGATAATTTTGAACAAAAGCAAGGACTTGGGTCTATTAAATAGCAATGGTTATTCCTACGACAAAGTAATTAGGAATGGGGTATGGTGCAGGAACATAAAAATAGAACAAGAGAATATACTAGACAGATCAGAAACAGACTTATGGGTGTAAATTTTGATATATTATGAAGGTTGTCTTAAAAAACGAGGAACGGAATTAAGCCACAAAAATGTTCTAGATAGTTACCTAGTCTATGAAAAGTATATAAAATTGAATCTACTCCTTATATAATTCGTAAGAATTATTTCCAGTTGAAGTGAACAGTAGGGATTT